GTAGTAGTTAGTAGTAGTGGTAGGAGTAGTAGTAGTAGTCGTCGTCGTCGTCGTCGTCGTCGCAGTAGTCGTAGTAGTCGTAGTAGTCGTAGTAGTAGTAGTAGTAGTAGTAGTAGTAGTAGTAGTAGTAAGTAGCAGTAGCAGTAGCAGTAGTAGTAGTAGTAGTAGTAGTAGTAGTAGTATGGGGTTAGTAGTAGCACTGGTTGGTGGTAGTAGTGGTCCTTGTTGTTGTTGTTGTTGTTGTTGTTGTTGTCGTCGTACACCAGAGTAGTAGGAGTAGTAACAATAGGAGGTAGGCCATAGAAAGTAGCAGCATCTGAATATCATGGCTCTGGGCGCTCGAAGCCATGTTTGGGCTAGTGAGCTTCAGCACATAATCCTAAGCCTACAAAACCTCGAAACCTCAAACACCTAAACCCTAAGCACCGAAACCTTACTCAACCCCGAAACCTTGAAGCTTAAACACGACGAAACCCCACCGCGCATGCAGACCCTAAGCAAAATCTTCCTGAGATTTGTACTCCGAAGAGCCTAAGGGACCCCTGGCTCTACGAAATCTAAAGCACACCGAAGCCTGATTTGTAGGGCTCTTGGGTTGAGGAACGACTTGGGATTTGGGTTCTGGGGTTTGAGGCTTGCGTGTTCTGGATTGAGGGTTGTGGGTTCAGGGTTCAGTGTGCTCGGGGTTCTAGGGCTTGAAGTTCTGGATCCTGGGTCTAAGCTGGAGAAGCCTAAGCACGAGACGCGAAACTTCTTAGCCACCCCAAACACCCTAAACTCTAAACCCCCAAAACCCTAAACCCTAAACCCTAAACCCCAAAAACCCTAAAAACCCTAAACCCTAAACACTAAGTGCCTTTCTTCCTGCAGCTGCTCCTCCGTGATGGGTTCACCGGTCGGTGACACAGCCTCCCAGCTCGAAGCAACCAGGGTTTAGGGTTTAGGGTTTAGGGTTTAGGGGTTTAGGGGTTTAGGGTTTAGGGTTCAGGGTTTAGGGCAGCTAGGAGGGTTTTTGGGTGTGGGGTGTAATGTAGGGGCCTCGATAATTAGAATGAGGTTTTTTGACACATCATACTAGACTTATACGAAGGAACCCCATCAAAATTTTATAGGTAATTGTTTAGGATTTAAGCCCTATATTCGGTTTAGAGTTCAGGGTTCAGAGGGCCATCCGACTAGACACAGAGGAAGCTTGGTGTTGTCTTTGCAACAAGGCTTCAGAACATCCCCGCACCCATCGACTACGCAGGCACTCGGACGCCCCAGCCATTGGCCTCCCTCAAGAATCAGGCTTCCACAAAAGCCACCTTGAAGTTGGAACCTGATTTCTGCCTATACCTCCAAAATAATAAAATTCATATACAGGAACCGAAAAGAAGGACCCACAAACTTGAATAATCAGTCTGGGGTTTGGGGTGTCGTAGCATGAGAATATGACATGAGGGAACTGCAGTATTGCAAAACTGTCGCAGCCTGATACTCGCCATCCACGTACATGTACTCTGGCACCTGAGCGGCTTTCGCCGAGCCGTCCTCGTTTTGAAGATATGTGGGGTTTATATACATCGGGGTAGGAGACCAGCAACTCAACAATCCCGAAGCTACACTGGGGACATGCATAATCCCTTTCCTGCCTTCCGCTGTCGCTGGAGCGCTGGAGGGAGGCTACCTGGAGCCAGGGCAGGACTGTGACACGCCAGGCGGTCCCTGAAACCCTAAACTCTAGACCCCTAAACACCCCTAAACCCCCAAAACAAGCGTAAGCATGAAGCTTTGACCCCGGACCCAAGCTAAGTGAATCAACACCGGAAGCTGTCACAATCCCTGGGGCTCCAAATAGCCCAAAGTAGGTACTATTTATAGACTTTAGACCCCAAAGTAGGTGCTATTTGTATACTCGGAGCCCTGGGGAATGCGCTGCTCACTTCCGATCCGCCACTTCCGGCCTTGACAAGACACGCGAAACTCGGCGTATTGAGGTTTAGGGTGTGAAGCTTGAAGTCTAGTAGCCTTCGTTTCGAAAGACTCTGTCCCGTGAACCTCTTCCTGGCTTGGTCCATAAGTACCAACATTCGTTGCAACTGTTTCTGAAACAACCGCCTCATCGCGATTCGTATTCGCTGTTGCCACTAATTCTGACACTTGGGTCGCTTCTGCACTTGAACCTGCATGCTCTTCTCGTCGCGCTTCCTCCAAAGTCGCTGGTCTTCTAAGTTCAACCCCTGGCAGCTGCAACCTTGCACCTGATGCCGCTGCAGGATCCGGTGTAAGATGGTTCTCAGCATAGCTGCGATCAACTTGACTCTCATCAACACGAACCTCGGGTAAGCGCTCCGTCCCCTGGTCTCCTCTCTCTTGTTGCAGACTCTCGCGAAGGTCCTCATTGAGCTGTGCCAAGGAACGTTGCTGCTCTGATCCTAAAGGACTGAAGGAGTAAGATCAGCGGACGAGAGAGTTTGGCCAGAAGGTGGACTCCTCCTCCTTCTGTCCATGGCTCTAGCGAGCTCGCGGCACGACCTTGCTAGTTTAGTTGAGCTTCAACAGTTAAGTGTAGTTTGACAACTTTGAGGCGTTGACCCTAGAACCCTAACCCAGCGAAGTAACACAGCCTAAACCCAAAGCGTAAGGTTGGGCTCTTAACCTACGTAAAACCTACTTTTGCCAACCCCGGAAAGCTGAGCGCAACCACCAACCACAAGGCTGCCTCTGGCTCCCGGACGCACGGGGGCAACCCGCTCTTAATGGCTGCAGCTTCACATAGGGTTTAGGGTTTAGGGGTTTAGGGTTTAGGAGCTTAGGATTTAGGGTTTAGGGTTTAGGGGTTTAGGGTTTGGGGTTTGGGGTTTATGGACTCTGGAAGCCCTAGACTATTCGCCCTGAGCTTGATGCTCCGCAGCCTACGACACTCTAAAGCCTACCTGTAACCGAAAAGACTTACCATTCTAAGGAAATATGTAGGAACCATAATAAGGAACCCTAAAAAGGGAGGTCTTTCTGGTACAGGTATACATCTTAAACTGTGATTTCTCAACTCTCAGACAGGTAGACCCTCTTCCAGAAACCCCAACCTTTGAAACCCACAACCCATACCCCGGACCTAAACCCTACCCTCCACTCCCAAACCAAATCCCAGACCCTATATGAAAGTTTCAGAACATGGGGGCACGAAATTAAATGAGAGGTTCAGAAATTCGGGCCGTTTAGGGTCTTGGGTTTAGGGTTTAGGGTCGCTAAACTTAAGAGCCCTGGGATAGAAGGATCCTTCATGTCGGCCTTTCAAGCAAGGACTCGAAGATGTCGGACACCCCTAATGTAGGGGCCTTAAGAATTAGAACAGGGCTTTGGGGCCCAAGATACTAATATTACAATAAGGAACCAAAGAATATGGGTAATTATTGAGGCCCCTACAGGTAGGTAGGGTCCCTAAACCCTAAACCGGGCCTATGAAGCTGCGCGCGACTGCGTGGGAGCCGGGCCATATCCTCAGCTTCGAAACTCCACAGACCCTAAGAGGGTTTAGGATCAGGGTTAGGGTTTAGGGTTTAGGGTTTAGGGAGCCCAGTGGCCCAATATGGAGGCCGTAATAATTAGAATAGGGTTTGGGGGTATATCATACTATAAGTATATTTAGGAACCCCAAAACACCATTCCAATGATTAAGGCTCCTCATTATCTAGTAAGTTACAGGGGCCCATCCCATGTGCTGCTTAGGATTTAAGTTCAGGGCGTAGTGACTTGCGGATTTTGGAGTTGGGGGAGTCCCTAAACCCGAAACCCCTAAACCCTAAGTCCCAAAGTTAAACCTCTAGACCTTTCGTCCCTAAACCCTAAACCTCTAAACCCTAAGTCCCGAAACCCCAAACCTCTAAACCTTAAGTCCCTAAACCCTAAACCTCTAAACCTTTCGTCCCTAAACCCCTAAAACCCTAAACCTGTTTGGGGCTTTGGGCTCAGGGGCGTACTGGGGATCGCGGGCGCGGGAGCTTCAGGGTTCTGAGCTTCCGGCGGTTCAAGTTTGGGGCAGCTTAGGGATTAGGGTTTAGGGATTGGGGATTAGGGTTTAGGGGTTTAGGGGTTAGGGTTTAGGGGTTTAGGGTTTAGGGTTCAGGGTGTAGTTTATGGGTTTCGGGTGGTTCTTAGACCCGAAACCCTAAACCCCTAAACCCCTAAACCCTAAATCCTAAACCCCTAAACCCCTAGACCCCTAAACCCTAAACCCTAAACCCTAAACCCTTCTTAACTAAGACTTATCGGGTTTACGGCTTAGGCCTCGATCCAGATCACTCTGGAAGTTTGGGGATCGGTTGGGATCAGAGGATCAGAGAAGTCTGCTAGCAAAGCTTCACATGCAGGGGCACAGGGTTAGGGCTAAGCTTTGGGTTTAGGGTTTATAGGGTTTAGGGTTTAGGGTTTAGGGTTTAGAGGCTTGTAGGGTTTAGGGTTCTTGGGGGTAAAGGCTTCAGGGGCAAGGTTCCACTATGCTGTCCCATGCAGTGCTTCAAGGCTTTACGACGTTCCTTTGGTACAGGTTGTTGACGGCCTTGGAGACTATCAGGTCTCTGGGCTTCGGGTATATGAACCCAGGGGTTTAGGATTTAGGAGCATAGGGGTTTTAGGGTCTTGGTTTTCGGTTCAGGGTTTTGGGGGTTAAGGTTAAGGTGTAACTTGTCAGGGTCAGGAAGCAAACATGCAACCACCTGTAAGGCGTCCTCGAAGGCAAGTCCTAAAACCGTCGTAGCTAGCTCTCAATCCTGGCACTGAGTCACATGCCATCTAATGAGCCCTAAGGGTCCATGTACTCACATAGTACATACATTGGCCCAAAAGTACCTATATAGGGACTACGTCAAGGCCAAAGTATTTACTATTTGGGTACATGGACCCTCAGGGCTTATGATGGTGTTGAAAGCCAATAAGAGAACGGCCAAACTTTCAAAGTTGGTGTCTCTGAATTTCAACGGGCGCCCATTTGTCTGGCTGTGCGTCACACGGATCATTCGCGTGTGGGTCAACCTTGCCGTAGGCCACTAGGATATCCGGGTAGTCCTCAAAGCGGCAGTGTTCTTTGCCAGGTTGCCTCAGGCTTTGCGCACAACAGGAGATTTCTGACGGCATGCAGCTCCTCATCGACTGGAGACAGCGAGCCCAAAAAGAATTTTCGAAGTGTCGAGTTTTAGGGATTGAGGCCATGCTTGAGTTCGGCTTATGTAGTGTAGTGAGTGTCGTCCTGAAGCACTTCAGGTTCCGTCTTTTGTTGGTCGATTACCGTCTATTCTCTAAGGCTCGTAGAGCCTCTGGCTTCGGGGGGTTTAGGGTTTAGGGTTTCGGGGTTTAGGGGTTTAGGGTTTAGGGTTTAGGGGTTTTGGGTTCAGGGTGTGCGGAGTTGGAGCGCTGAGCCTTACAGCCTTATAAGCCTTTCCTTGGAAAAGTATGCCAAAGCCCTAAGTTGTGCAACAGACAATCCTGTGTATACCAGTGCTACCAGGGTCTTCGATTAGAGTGTAGGGTTTTAGGGTTAACCCTGAAGGCCCATATGCCAAAGTAATGACCTAACTGATGTCACCCGCATTCGCAAGGAGCAGCCTTTGAACCTGAGCTTACGTTTCGGAACCTGACATTCGACTTGAATCTCGAGAACACCGAACCTGGGCCGTTGGCATAGCATGTTGAGCAGTTGAGTGTCAGGGTCATTTAACCCTCAAAACGACCCCTGCACGACCCATGACACAATTCTCAACAAATTTTGATTGAAACATCAGACCCTCTATGAGACCCTTGAACAAGTTCTCACATACCTTGACTGAAAGCTAGTACGGCCACTTAGAAGACCCTTGAAGAACTACGTGGAACATAACATTTTACTCTCGCCAGGCCTGTTTGCATCATAGCGTTCCCATCTCACGGTCAGAGGCAGAGGCCCAGACGGTGACACGGTCAGGGTTTCGGGTTTAGGGTTTACGGTAGTCGGAGCAGAGCCTGGGTTCACAAAAGGGTTTACGGTAGGGTTCAACGGTTAAGGCGGGTTCTGCTGCCTCAGTAGGATTTCAGGTGTGGAGCCAGCGCGTCATGGCTACGGCTAAAAAGTACTCTTGTGCTAGCATCCGGGAGCCGAACCTAGCGAGTTTGATCATGGCAAATGTCAGCATAAGTCTTTAGATCGTGTGCGGGTCGAACTTTTGCTTGGGCCAGGTGCTGCTCGGCATCTTTGTTTGGTGCGCATAGCCCACCTTAAAAAGGGTTTGTCAACATTGTTTTTCCGCGCATCGAAACCTCACACAATGAGAGCCTCAGGTCATGAAGCTATAAGGGTTTTGCTTGTATTGGTGGAGGCGCAGTCAAGCAGATTTCAAGAAGAAGTAGCCGCTTCTCCTGGTGGTTTGTTGGGGGTTGCACCCTCCTCCAGCTTTCCCGGAACCAACCCTAAACCCTAAACCCTGAACTTCCTGAGCACATACAGAATCCTTTACGAGCCTCAAAAATGTCTTTCTGGGCCATGGGCACCCGCAGTTCGGGCTCCGTCGTCTCGTGTTCCATACCTCGGTCAGCCCTGGTGAGACACCCTCAACCTTCAGCCCTAAACCCCTGCTAAAAGCGCAAATCCGCAACCTTGTACCCTAGGCTAAGCTGACAGCCGCGAACCCCAGATGCGATTTGGCAGAGTCCAAACTCTAAACCCCAATCTTGTTTTTTCATCCCTAGACCCTCAACCCTGCATGCTTAGGGTTCTATATCAAGGGAAGCCTAAACCCTAAACCCCTAACATAGAGCGCTTAGTATGTGAGGCCATCTTCGCTCGCTTGGGTCGCAGCACTCCCGGCGGCATGCGGATAACATTCCAGGCAGGAAAGGGTTACTCAGGAACACATGTTATACGGTCCCTACGGAGATGCTATTCGATGCTATTCGGTTCCGTCTCAGGGGTACTTCAGGTTTGCCATAAGGGTGCTCTGGTTGCTGAGGACAAAAATACAATGTTTTTGCTACTATTCGGGTTTTAGGTTTCACTAAGTGTGCGATAAGTGATCCTGCGCAGGTTTTTGCTACAGGTGTGCGGTGCAGGGTTTCAGTGCTTCAGCCAAGCTTGTGCATCTCCTCCTGGGCTGTTGCTTAGGATTCTCCACTGCTTTTGTGTTTAGAAGAGGTTAGGCGTTTTTTTTAGGGGTTCTAAAGTGCAGGGGGCCGCGCAATTGTCAATGGCAACCGAGCAAGCAATTACCGTCAACCCCAGAACACCTACAGCACAGAAGGCTCAGACAGTCCTGCGGAAGCTATAGCAAGGCAACATTAACGTGCCCTATACCTATGGTCTCCATTGTACTTCCTTTTTGGGGATGCTTTGTAAAATCCTGAATACATTATTGGTTAAACCAAAAAAAGGAACTACAACGGAGACTACAGGTAGTTTCGAAGAACCGAAAGCCTTGCAAAGACGCACTCATCAACAGGATCTTGAGTACGAGCTGCCTGGCTGCTTTGGATCTGGTGGTTTATCTGAACCCTAAACACTAAACTCTAGAGGGCTAAGGGCTTAAAGGAAAAGGTCTCGGGTTTATAGGATTTAGTACTTACACGGTAGTTTAGAGTTTCGAGATGTAGTTTAGTGCACCTTCTCCAACATGGCACTCACCGAGACGTAGCCTACCTTCCTCAACATTGCCGTTTCCCAGTGCGGCTGAGTGCTGTGTGGACCAGTGGAGAGAAGCTACGCACAAAAAGATGAATTGAGACCGCGGTATCGCAGCCATGTTGCTGCTAGTTGAGCTTGGGATTTAGAGTATAATGGTTGTCGCTTGAGGGCTCAGAGATGAATCAAAATGCTGTCGGCATTTATGGCGGTTAGCATGTGTGCCATGTACATGATGTCTAAGTACATCATTACCACGGTACCCGGCTGAAGTTGGCAAGCTGCTACCCTGAGGCTGCAAAGAGGTCACGAAAGCATCGAGGACTCCATTTGCGGCAGTTTACGCTATTTGCATATTCCGGAACATGCCCATGTAATAAGAGGGGAATAGGGTGCTCACATGCAGCTTAATGTTACTTGCTATTGAGTTTCGCTTTCTGCAAAGCCCTCTTGCCCGAGGAGGTGTGCCGTGCCCGTGAGATGATTGTCGTCGGGAGCCATGTTGAAGATGTTAGAGGTCGACCAAACATGTCCTCTCCAGCCCTGGCCTCTTCGTCACCATTGCCCGCATGACACCGACCTTCAACCCTAAGCACGGAACTCCTTTAAATGCATGGACCTTCACTCGAACAAAGCCTAAACCAGAAAGCAACAGAAAAGGCGACGCGACGACCACGACGGCAGAAGCGGCGCCAGCAACAGAGGAGGAGGAGGAGGAGCAGGAGGAGCAGGAGGAGGAGGAGGACAAGGAAAACATTGATGCGGAGCCCTGGCACTGCCAATGGCAGCTGCAACGCCAACAGCAACAACAAGACCTGCTCGTCACTACAAGCCGGAGGATATGCGCACGACATGAAC